TTTTAATAGTTTTCTGAACTACAGGACTGAACCTGCCCGTTAGGTAAAGACGGATGAATCTTCATCACAGAGGACAATGTTGATTTTGATTGGTTTTCCCTTCTAGGGTTCTTCTGAAGAAATCTGGCTGTAAAATACCAAGAATTGAACTGGAAGAGATGGGACCTTCATTAGATCTGGTTATGAGGAGGACACATTTAGCTTCAGATGACCTTTATAAGCTGTCTTTAAAGCAGCCGAAAGCCCTGAAGGTATGTACCTTGGAAAATATGTTACTTCCAGATCTGTATGTCAAGAGCAATAAAAGCTGAAGTATTAATTATTGTATTTGACCAAAGCTTACTTTTATATATTACTCTTTTGTGAGACTTCTGGAGCCGCAGCACTTCTGTGGTGATCAGCTGGCATACAGACACTGCTCTGGAAGCCCATAGAATGTACAGATCAGATCTTAATCTCTAAACTCCACTGTATGTGGCCTTGCTTTTAGGCACTTTACTCTCACCCAAACTCCTGGCACTCTCCGCTGCTCAGAAATAACTGATGTTGTTCTTCCCTTACAGCCTAAGAAGAAAAAGAATATCTCCCATGATGCGCTCGGTACAACTTACGGCCGAATCCACATGCAGAAGCAAGATCTTGGGAAACTGCAGACACGGAAGATGAAAGGGTTAAAAAAGAGGCCAGCAGAGAAGGCAGCTGAAGATAGTGGGGTTAGTCCCAAAAAGTCAAAATCAGCTTGATAGTCAGGAACAGCTTTGAAATCTTTTTGTACCTTCAAATTTGGTATATATACTGTAATACAAATGTGTCAGACATAAAAGATTTAGCTGCTGTTAACTTTAGTTTTATACAGAAGTCTTTTTAATGGTTTGTCATTTTAGAGGGACAGGGGGGTATTGAGCTTTAACACAGAACTTGGTAATTTAAAATAAAAAATGTGATATAACTTGCTTAGTTTTCTGTAGCTGAGTATTTATTCTCTTGGTGTTAGCAAACATATGCTAGTCATTTCCCAGGCAGTTTTATGGATGCTATGTTGGGAACCCGTGGTCAATCAACTCATCTTGTAAATTCTACACTGGACCAGAGTAGTGTGTATGCATTAATATACACAGCACAACTTCTCTGCTCATTTATTGCTTATGTATTTCAAATTTTGCATGACTGCACTACTCTATAAATTCTTTTCTAAAGTGGGAGCTCACAGTATGTGTCTGATACCAGACTTAGGTCTGTCACTATCACACCAAGGCCTACATTACACTTGCAGAACTGGGAGTGATTACAGTGTTTTTATGGTGTTCATCACCATGGTAGCAAAGTACCTGATGTTTGTTTTAGGCAAATGAAACCTTTACAGTTTGGATTTCAGCCTTTGATGCTTGATTTGTGCTGAGAATGGAAGCATGTGAAGCAACCATGAAAGGTGGAAGTCTGTTCTTCTTACTCTTGCTTTTCTTCTAACTTTGTGCTCATGAGTTAGTGAAGACTCCTCGGTTAAAGACTCTTGTTTAAGAGCTCAGTGAGACTCTGGTGTGGTTTTCCATGGTTTGGAACATACTGAAAAACCTTGTTTTTCCTTCTACTTGTTTCTGTGGAAGCTATTACTCTGCCCCTTAGCATAATCATGATAAAAGTATGCATACTTTATCATGAACATAATAAGCTTGCTCATCCTAGTTACATTTTTAATACTTGATCTTTTCTTATCAGTTTTCTCAGTGTAGTTGTCTGATGTGTCACGTTAGAAACAGGCAGTTTGTTATTTTCACTGCTGCACCATAGATGGAAGCTGCTGGGCAGCTTTGCTTTCCATGTGTGAGAGCTGAGCTGTAACTGTGACTGCAAATGCTACACATGATGTTCCTGCTATGCTGGTTTGATAAAGCTTGTGTGAAAGAGAAAGCACTTCAAAAGTTTGGGATCTTTTTGAGGGCACAGACATTGATCTTCCATGTATTAACTTATTTTTATGGTGATTTTTATGAACTTAACAGCTGTAAAAGAAATAGTAAAAGCATGCCTGTCATCATAAAAGACTTGGGCTTTTTAATTGTATTTTCCTAATTTGGAAGCTAATTTTGTGGCTCAATTTGGTGTTTAAAACCTGAATTTCATAGCATTAAAGTAGACCATCTAACCTGTTACTTCTTAATGTAAAAAGTGAGACGGTTGTTCAGTAGTAGCCCCCAGAGATAAGCTGTTGCATCCTGGCATTGATTTTGTTTCATGCTGGGGCACATGAGGGCTACTGCACCTTCTGGCAACTGTGTATGGTTACTGTGCAGTTTCAGAGATGCAAAGTGCTTGAGCAGAGGAAATGGGTCTGCAGAGAGAACCCAGGTGCATCTATTCACCCTATGCGGGGTCTTCTTGCTGACTACAGGTGCATCCTGAAGTGCCTGATGTCCCACACCTGGGGCTGTTTGTGTTAACAACCTTTTATTTGTAGTTTTTGTACTGGTGCAATACAGCCACATGTGGACAAAAATGGTTGAGATATGTGAGGCAAGGAGAAATTCTGTGAGGTTTGCTTGTTCACTTTCAAGTTACATTGCTAGCAAGGATTAAAACTTGCTCCGTTTCTAGTAAGTACATTGCGCTACTCAAAGTGTTGCTGTTTTGGTGCAGACTCTTGACTGGGAAGCAGAAATGTTCTCTTTTTTTTTTTTTTTCCTCATGACACAAATGAACCACTCTGATTTCTGTATGACGAGATAGGATGAAGCCAAATTAGCAACTGAGTTCACCCCTCTTCTTTCAGAGAGGTTTCAACCTTGCTGTGAAGCACTGATTAAGCCACAAGGCTGGTGGCTAATGTGATTTTAGATGTACGGCATGTACAACTGCACAATGTATGGTTGGCAACTGCTTCATTCTGAATATCTGATTTAGCTCAAGCTGAATGGAGATAGGAGGGCTAAATATAACGTTTCTGGTGGCATGTTCTTATTTTCCAGACTCTTTTAAGGTGTGATGAAATTTGTCAGGTGCTGCAATGTAGCTGTGTGCATGAAGAAGGTGCCCAAAGGGCAGCTGATGAAAGGGGCTTTGTCTTGCCTCAATTGCCCCTTGCTTCCAGAGTTCACCAGGCTCTGAAAACACATAAACATGGCCCCGGGGTCTGCATGGCTTGGGCAGGGCATAACTGGCATGTTCACCCCTTTCCCCTGGCTTTCATCTTCTTACCTCCCAATGCACTGAAGAGATAGCTTTATTTGTGGGTTGAGTGTGGTAATAGATTTGGTTTCAAGAAAATCCCTGTGGGCAAAGTGTGGCTCCCGATGTTGTACCTGTGCTGTAAAACGGAGGTGGAGCTGCTAATTGGCAGTCAAGCATGTGCTGTCTTTAGCTGGCAGGATGGCAATAGCAGGGAGGGTGTGATTTGTGCCTCTGTATGCTCAACTGTGCCACTGGCATATTCGTTGCTTCTGTTAAGGAGGCTACTGTTATGGATAAGTAATGATAGACAGAATTTAGTCTACCTGCACTGCAAGTTCACTTGGCTGCCTTTACGTGTGGTGCAATTTAAAAAAGTAGGAAGAGAGGTAGATACAGTTAAGTGGCCATGATATGCTAGGTTCTTGAGATGCCCGCATTTTTGGGAATCAGTCCTGGACACATACAATCACAGCCTTAGCCTGATGTGACAGACTGAGCAGAGAGCAGCACGTGATGCGTGTTTGAAAAGAGCATATGAACTCCTTTCTGTTTCCTGGATTTTGTGGGTTTGAGTTTATCTTTGCTGTTCCTTAGCAACCTTATTTGTTTCCACTCAGTGCTTTCTGGATTTGACTGTGAAGGTTTCCTCCCTCCACTGGCTTGGTTGCAGCTGGGAGGGTTAGCAAAGAGTGTGAAGGGAGGACATTGCAGACACACCAGGTATCTCACTGACTGCTGCATCCTCCAGCCAGGGAGGAAAAGGCTGACCATTTCTTGTTCTAGATAATGTCAAATAGAAGGAAACTAGAGCAGAGCTGTGTTAGAGGTACTTTTACTATTAAAAAGAGGGAAGTGGAAAAAGCAGCTGTGCATAATTTATATTCTATAGCCATATGAAATACATATTGACATGTGTATTACATGTGGCACAGATAGTTCTCCCCTATCTCCAAGTATAACTAATCTCTTGCTCTTGGACTTTGCTAAAGTGCCTCTAGCAGTAGTGACACATCCCAGCTGCAATCCAGAGGCATAGCTGAGAAATAGGTCAGTTGTATCAGAAGTCAGGTTTCCTAAAAGAATACAGGGAATAGAGCCACGAGGCTCCTGAATGTGAAGCCTGTGTAGGATGCCTTCCTAAATGGATGAATGTTCAAAGTTAACAATATGGCTAATGCTGTAAAGGAAGAACAGCTTTGCTGTCATGCGTCTATGCAGAAGACAGTGAGGGGGAGCTGAAATTTTTGGGAGACCGAGCTTCTGAGGGACCTACTTGACTAGGGGGGGGAATTGATTATCTTGGAGATCATGGTAGGCAGGAGGAATATAAGAAGTGCTCTGTGGGCAAAGAAATGAAGATGGGCACTGGGAGAGAAATTTATCAGTAATCTGGGATTAAGCCCTATCCTAAATAACATGGGAATCATCTACTTGGAGCCCTCATTGAGCATGGTACATGTATGCTGATTGAGACAGTTCTAAGGCACCTGTTCTTCATCCATTCTTGTTTTCTTTGACTTTCAGTCCTGTTCAGTCTACTTGATCTTTCTGTTGCCCTGCTTCTCGAATATAAGCACAAAGTAATACAGGAGATGTAGAAGTGAAGTTTTGAGCAGAACTTAACAGAAAGCATGTGTGGTTAATGACATTCCCCAAATTCTCATTATGTTCCCCTTGTCCCCTCTGATAATCCCATAATTCTTCCTGTGATGTCACATACCACCTATAAAACCTGGATTTCTCACTCTGTCCATGATACCAAAGTACGCCCATATGGGCCCTAGCTACCTCCTATTTTGATTGCTGCAGTTTTCTCCTTTTGACTTCTTTTATTCTCACAGCCTTCAAACCAGACACCGCTGCACTGACCCGTTTCCTGCTGTTTGTCCAGATCATCTCTTTGTACAGGCAAGGAGTTTCTTGTGCTTTATTGTTCGTGGTGATACATCATCAATCTCTTCTTTCTGCTCTGCTAGTGGTCACACTATCAGTCTCCCTCATCTTTCTCAGATGTCTTCTGTACTCTGAACTGACCATTATTTGCTTAATCAGCTTTCAGTTAATCACTGTAACAACCAAGGCACTTACTGAGAGCATCTGGGCAAAGTGAAGTAAGGTACTGGGGAGCCACATTCAGCATGAGAAGTCAAGCTACAAAGCCAGTGGTCAGGAGCCAGAATCAAAAGAGGGGATGAGATGAGCTGTCCTGTCAATTACAAGATCAGGCATGTCAGTCAGGCAGGGAAACCTGCAGGAGAGGTCTAACCCATTTCTCCATTCTCCATTCTCAGCCCGTTTCTCCAGTTGTTACCAAATGGGAGAATTTGGGCAAGAGCACTGACCTGCTGGTATCAGTGGAAGGGGTGCCAGGCTTTGCTCAGCACACTCAGAAGGAGATCTGTGGTTGATTATCCCCTGCCAGCGGGTTGTGCACATATGCCTTGTGTTACATTGCCTGTGAAGATCTCAGCAATGCACATGAAAAAAAATACTTCTTTTTTTACATATACAGTGCTGCAATGCAAAGAAAGATGGATGTAAAAATCTATCATCTCCCTTTTTCCTAACATTGATGTGTGCTCCATGGAGAAGGCAGTGCTTGGCGCATGTGCAGTATAAGAACCTTCACTTAAGGCTGAGCCCTGTATCATCAATTCTAAGGCACCTTTAGATGCTGGTGTTATTTGTCTCTTTTTTTAAAAACTTTAAAATTCAACCATTGCTTCCTGCTGCTGGCCTCTGGACAGGGGAATTACTGATGCTGCCTTATGCTCTGAAATTATGACTGGCAACAGTGATTACGTTAGCTGTAGATAGGCATACTGGGGCCTAATGTCAGCTGTTGCCAAAAGATAGTTTAAAAGCCTCTTCCCTCCCTGCCTGTTTTTCAGATAAAGGCATATTCCTTGTACTAAGTTGGGGCTTCTGTTTTCCTAATCCAAAAAAAGTCCATGAGTAGTTAGTTATATCTTTTCAGTTTTGATTGAAAGTTGCTAATGTTTTTCTCCAGTGGAAATGGAGCTCCTTGGCACAATAGTTGTTTTCTCCTCTGGAGGAAGTTGAAGTGAAAGCAAAGATTCAGGCAAAGTGTCTCTTCTCTATCCTAGTGTATCACGCTCTTGCGTATGATAGAAACTAGTCCAGTGCAACAAAGCAATGTGTTTAGCAGTATAAATTCAGATGAAACATCTCTAAGCAAAGTTGAGCTCTCCTGGTTCTCAGGAGCAAAGAGGTGTTTGGTGTGTCAAACTGCCAAAAGATGGGCACTCACATCTGCAGTATCAGGAAATTTGTATTGGGATGGTTTGCTGCAAAAAGTGCAATGCAGAACTTGCATCTATCTCCCATCACAGCCCTTTATTTTTCTAATTGAAAACAGATTATTACAAAGAATTAATTAGCCCCTTCAAAGTGCACATGCAGCATGCCCATAAAGAGTAATAAACTTTCAATTCATAAGAGGTAATAGATTTCAGGTCCTGTTGGCTCACTTTGCACACAGGAATAATCCCTCGCTCATCAGGGTTATTTGAATTAGGCAGACTTGACTTTTTTATGCCATTAAAAGAAGTTTGTATGTGCCCCTTTTTCTTTCTTCACATTCTTTCTTGTCTGAGCATACCTGAGATGCCTAAAGGCTTCCAGGATATCATAGGCAAACAGCTGTTCAGCTCAAGTGTGCTCTGTAGTTGATGAGTGGGGGATTTCTGTTTATATTCCAGAGGCTCGCTTCTTCAGGGCTGAGCAGAAAGGCTCACTTGAAGAAAGATTCAGAGACCTGATGACTGCTGAGCATTTCCTTCTCGTTTTCCCTCCAGAGAGAGGGATACCCACCCTTCCTGCCATTAGCTTTCTCCAGTTTCTCCAAGGCAGTAGGTCATACATAATGATATTTCTTAAAAGAAACCCAAACAAAACTGCAAACCCAACATGTTATAGATAACACCATGTGGTTCAGCAGCAGTGCTGACGTAAGGGATTGTGAAGGTGCAGCTGTTTGTGGGACTGGCATCCAGATGAGGCAATTGAACTAGCTTTAAAAAGCGAGGGGTGGGGGGAAAAAAGGAGAAGTTCTTTGTTTTGAAGCTAGATCAGTTCCCTGATCTGGCTCAGCACAACTGGGTGGTGCACTGTGTGCTAGGGAGGAAGCAAAAGGCTGGGAGTGGGATGGGAGACGTGAGGTAACTCCTGAAGCTTGTGCTGCTGCCTGCGGTATTATCTGTATGATGGTGCCTGAGTTTGAGAATGACTGTGGTTCAGTCTGTGCTTAAGGAAACCAGTGGTTTTGAGGACCTGCATTTGCCAGTGAGGTTCACATCTTTCCCTGTGATCGTTACTTTTAACATCATTTTGCAGATGTGAAAGCAAAGGTCAACTGACTTTTTCAGAAGAGAATTGCATTGTGAATAAAGGTAAAATGTGAAAGTTGTGAGTTCCCTATCGGTGTGGCCTCTGTTGGTGGCTTCCATGTGCCTTCCTGGGGCTGGAGTCTGTGCTGTCTGTGCTGTGGTGGAGCTGGAGCAGCTGTCAGCAGTGCTTGGCCAGAAAGAAGCTGACCTAAATGGAACTACTCACTATTTGTGATTTTATTTACAAAGAACACCTCACAGAAATGTTGGATTTTTTCAACAAAGCCCACCACCACCCATCCCTGGTCACTAGTAAGAGAGATACTAGTTCATATGTGTGCCTTTTAGCACAACACAAAGAAATCTGTTCAGGTTGGTTTAAAGGGAACCTCCAAAATAACATCCAGGAAACTTCTCCTTTCCATCACCTTCTGACAGAACTTATGTGGCTTCTAGTTTAGCTGGAAGGATTTTCTCTACTATAAAGATTTTTCAACATACTTCTTTCCCCTCCGATGTTATGGAGCTATGGCATGAAAAAGATTATTTGAGCTGCATTGAATGATTCTGTTTAACTAACTTGAGTAAAAGATTGTCATGCTTGTTCTAGTCTGAGCATGATCAGAAATACTGCATGGTGGTATGTTATGTTTGGAAAACTAACACTGTATCTTAGCAGGAGCCTCAAATCTTTTGAAGGCAGATTTAGTTATTTTCTCCAGTTATGAAAAATATTTTCAATTTAATTTAAATTCCATTAGACCCATGTTGCTGTTTTCAGGAGGTAACAGCTGATTAGGTTCTCAGTTACTTTTCTTTCAATTCCTGGAAGGAAATCTATTCTGTGGTTTATGTGGTAAAGTGACTGAAGAGTTTAAGTGCGTGTAGACAAAGCTGTCCCTGTTAAGGAAAAAGTATAGTTAAAGGTATATTATGAGAAAGTGACAAGTGAAACGTTTTTTCAGCATGTGGGCTGCATAGGACACAACAAACCTACCCTAAAGATGGTCTCATGCATGAGATTCTCTCAAAGATAGATCTTCCTTTAGAGACCCATACTTGAGGCAGGAGACTTATGCGACCTGCCTGGTATGCCTGAAGGAAAAGATGTATTAAATGCTAGCAGAGAAGAAGGAAAAAACTTGTCAAAATTTGTGGTTTTTTTTTAAAAGGGTGCCAGCATTTGGTCAGAGCCAGCTACACCAGACTTGTGATCGATTCTGGGAGCTGAGTTTACAGGAAAGTTTTGTTGTTCTGTTAAGAAATAGAACAGGATGAACTTTTCAACCTAGTAGGTAGAGAGCTAATTTCCATGGGCCTAACTCTGTCGGCAAGAAAAGTGAGTATTAAGAAAGAACAGGCAAACTGCTAAGACAAGGCATTAGGTGTTTTCTCACAGCAAAAGCCAGATGACTGGAATCAGAAGACCAGAAAGTTTCTAAGTCCCCTCATGCACATTGAACTAGACATCTGACTTGAACGATAGGAAAAGGAGAGATAAAAACTTATATGATACTCATGTATGTAAAACCAATTTTGAAGTCTATATGAAAAGGGAGGTTTTGCAGAGGAGAAAGAATCATCAACTGTAAAGTTTAAGTTGGAGCAAAATCTTTAAAACCTTTTCTCCTATGTCACACAGAAAGCTGTCATCATGTGTCGACCCCTACCCTGAGCTGCATGAATTCCCATGAGTGCATCACAGTATAAAGTGTCATATCATTCCTACCTAAGGATCTTGAGTCATGTTCCATTTGTAAAAAGTCTTAGGCCCCACTGACACTTATTTAAAAAACAAAAGCAAACAACAAAACCCCCAAACCCACAGCTTCCCAAGTTTGTATTTACCTGACACAGTCTGTTTTGTAGCAGACTTGTAGAGAGTTTTGTCTTAAATCTTACTCTATTCCTTTTCAAATCACAGTCCAACCTTCAAGAAGGTTTTGAATGCTCACAATTATTTATTGTAGAATTGTAATACCCAGGTTCCTCCAAGAAGGATCCCAGAACCTTGCTGTGCTCAGCAGAGTGAAAAACACAATGTAAGGAAAAGTTCTCACCAACATACTGAAGTGGCACATGGCTCTTCAGAGACTGAAAGTGGTTTTCCCACATTCTGGTAGTTTCTCCTGAAAAAACAAAAACCAAGACACCTTAAGATCTTATCCCTTGAGGGCTCCTGTTGACTTGCAATCATACATTGCAGAAGAGTGTTCAACACAGTCTGACCTTAAGAACCCTGTTTCTTACTTCTCTATTGCACTAAGGAGAACAAGTGTTCCTGTTTCTTTAGAGAATAATTATTCCTCTTTTCTACTTTGTGCTTGCTAAGAAGTACTTGTGTGATTAAAGTGGTTTGTTGTTTTAGACTGATAGTTTGGGTGTGGGATAGGAGAATTGCTGGATCCTCCTTCCATGGACCAGAAGATCTAAGTGAGCTCATTGCCACTCTAGCTTCATGCCAAGGGAGAAATCTTAGTGGGATCACTAAAGATTAGCAGTTGCATGAATAAAGATACCTACAAGAAGAACGTTTTGAAGTGGCACAAACCTTCCTTTTCCAGACAAAAACACTGGCATTTCATAATCAGTCTGTGATGAGGAACAAATTGTTAGGAAAAAGGAATTCCTGGGAATTGCAACATTGCAAACTCTGTTCTTCCGAATCAGAATGAATAGCCAGAACATCCCACTGAATGAAAATACTGGGTATTGGAAAAAGTTAATTTGTGACAATGGAAACATTTCATACCTTTATATTTGGTGTAACCCGATGATAATGCAAATATCCATGCTAATGTTTCGTAAGTTGAAGAAATTCAGTTATGTAAAATCACAGTGCTTTACTATAACATTTTTACTTCTACCCACTTTGAATTTTCACCCCTGTCACAAGACAAAGAACCACACTCAATTCACATCAACAGCTCTTTTCATCTGAGGGGACATGATTTAGAGAGTTGCTTTCCCAAAGGTAAGACTCACCCATTACCTGCTGGATGGGTTTTCTGTGTGATTTCCCCAGATATAGGAAAATAAACTGGAGTGTCTGTGGTAGCAGGGAAATGCTTTTATCTTCACCCTGGAAGTTTAAAATGAGCATTAAGTCTCCTGTTCCAGGTGCTTTAGGAAAGAGTATGAGATCAGGGAGAAACTTAACAGAGCTTTATTTCAATACCTCTCCTGCTATTTCCCAGTATGCTACTCCATAGTATAAAGAAACCTGAAGTATATAAAGTTCTTGAGCTGGAGATGATAATCTCCTGCATGTTGTATTTTGTTGTTATGGCATCTTTCCTCTATGACTCTTGCTATTGTTCTATTGTTAAGGAAATAATTTTGGCATTTCAAGTACTTTGTATTGATTAGTTTCATAATTTAGTTTTCTTGAGTGACACAGTAATTATTGGGTTAAACCTGAGGCCTGATAGGGTTCTTGGACTCCCCTTAGGTCTTTTGTTTGAGAATCAAGAGATAAATATTTCCCTTCACCTTTCATGATTTTTCAGGCCTCAGTTTCCTTACTGATTTCTTTCCCAAGCTGAAGAGTCTTGGCCAATTTAAATGCTTTCCACAATGAAGCTGTATCATATGGATAATTTGTCCTCTTTATACTTCTTCTACTTCTGTTATATTCTTTCTGAGAAGAGAATTGTATGTGGTAACAAAGATATTGTTGCATGACTAATTCTGACATATACATTTTCTTTTTGATTTTCTCTTCTTAATAATGATTAATGGTTTATGTGCCTGTTAGACATTATTGTTTAGGGAGCTACTCCTGCCAGAGAAGGAGCCAAAATAAGTCGAGAAGATCTCTCTTCTCAAATGAACATTCTAATGACAACAATAAACTAGAGACCATTATTTTATGTACCTAGAGAAGGTTTGTTTTTTTTTTCTTCACATTTGTGTTTCTGAGCATTGAATTTAAGCTGCTGTTTTGCTTCCCAGTTACTGGCTATATCCAAATTCTTCCACAACTTGTAGTTTGACAACATGATGTGACAAAGTTTGCTGCTGATGTTGGATAAGTTGGTATTGTAAAGATGAGTGCCACCTGCAAAGATATCCAGAAGACTTTTCTGAGGGTGCCATTCTCATACCACTCAAATTAGATTTGGTGTTGGTATGTACAAATGATGAACAAAGCTGACATCAGCTTAAAAAAAAAGTAAATGACAAGTGTTCTGAGCTAACAGCCGTGCCTCTTTGGGAATGAGACCTTGACATTACATCAGAGAGTGAAAAAGTCACTCTGATAGTCAAAAAAGTAAATCAAACATTAAGGATTAGTATGGGAAAAGAAGAATTAGTGGGAGGAAAATGAAATAGAGTACAAACATTTGCTCCTGTATAAATTCAAATTGAACCCATACCCTGACTGCTGTGTGCAATTCAGCTACCCCTGTCCTACAGCTTTAAAGGGGACATAACAGAGCTAGCTCAGAGAAGGCAAAAGATGACCTAAAGATATGGAATGGCTTCTACAAGGAGAATGACTCAATCAGCTCCTCTGCCTGAGAGAGATACAACTGACAGGGAATATCACAGAGATATATTAATTCGTGGATGATATGGAGATGGTTAATAGAAAAAGATTGTTCTTGCACGGGAAGAGATAGTTAATTTGGGACTATCCAATGAAATTTACAGGAAATAAGTGGCACATAAAAGAATGTGTTTTTTCTCACAGGCAGTGAAGCTATGGAACTCCTGCCAGAAAATGAGTGATATATAAGTCCATTTATCATAATTCCACTAAGTCTGGGAAACACTGAGAGGAAGTTACTGCTTCACTTCTTTGCCACCTGTGCAGTGGGATGGTCTGTACCTGCATGAAGATCATGGATGATATTGAATTGGAGAAAGGGGTCAATCTACTGGAAAGCAGGATGGATCCTTCCTCCAGCTTAGCACATTCCTTCTGAATGGCCAACAAAAACCTACTGGAGTTCAGTAATGGAAAATGCAAAATACTGCACCTAGGATGCCATAACCACATGCAGCAGTGCAGGCTGGAGATACACAGGATAAAAAATAGCTTTGCAGAAAGCTGCAGGTGAGCAATCAGCTGAATAGGCAGCTGCAGTTTCTTTTGCAGCTGTGAGGACTGACTGGTCTGTATGACCAAGAGCATGGCCAGCAAGATGAGGGAAGTGATTATTCTCTGTATTTGACATGTATGAGGCCATGTCTGAGGTACTGTGTTTGGATTGGGCCACCCTAGTGCAAAAGCAATATTTACAAATTGGAGAGGGCCCAGGAAGGGTCACCAAGATGGTCAGGATGCTACAGCACATACTGCACAAGTGAAGGCTGAGAAAGCTGGGTTTGTTCAGCCTGCAGATGAGAAGAGTAAGGGAGGGTCCAATTCCTGTCTTCTAACTTCCAAAGAGTAGAGAAGTATTCAAATGAACTTACATCTGTGTTTCCCAAGACATGTCATGCCTTTCTGCACCCTCTGTCTTACCTTTACTTTAGACAGGTAGAATTGTTCTGAGCAGGAGAAGTCAGGAGGCTGGGGCAGGTGTGGGGGCCTGCACTGAGGGCTGGGGGCAAGAGGTGTACTCTGCAGGCTGGGGTTTCTTGCAATGAGAAGGTGGGGGATGTGGAAAAATGTGACAGTGGAGGAAAAGAAGGAAATCTGGTTAGGAAAAAGAATTTAGGAAAGGATGGGAAAAGAGATGGAAAATGTCAGGGGTTCTGTATTGAAAGAATGAGGAGAAATTGGCTCTGAGTCGGGGTGGGTTGCAAAATGAGTTTGGAAACAGAAGGGCTTGGGAGATAAAAAGTCACAACTAGGAAAAAGTAGACAAGAGGGGAGAGTCAGGGGATGATCATGCTGTGCTGGACAGGATTTGGGATGAGAATAGGCAGGGATTACTGTGATGCCTCCCTCCTGCTTCTAACCAGCTCAAATCTGCGGACAGAAATTTGCAGAGGCCTGGCCCTCCTCTCCCAGCAGCAAGGGATTTGTCTCTCCTATGTTCTCTTTTTGTCACTCAAAAGTATAAAATTTAAAGTTCAATTTCCAGACAAGAAGATAACAATAATTTTGCTGGCTATCTATTTTTAAATTGACACCTCAAAAAAACATAGCAATGTCACAGAACCCTCAAACTCAGCTCCTCCTTCACAGTTTTCTGCTCCTTTCCAGGATGAGATGGGACACTCAGGGTGCAGACTCGGCTGCCAATTGCACTGTCTCCCTTGCCCGAATCCACTTCCAAATTTAGCCAGATGAAGCAAATTGTGGACAAAGACCATTCCCGGCTTGGCCGGCAGATGGCAATTACTGCTCTTAAAGGGATCCTTACGCGGCCTTTAAAGTATGGAAAAAAGGGATTTGCAGTAGCTCAGTCTCCTTAATATTACACTGAGTGTAAAAACACCTCTGAAATTTGAGTTCAGCTTTCCTGTCATCCACTAACAGATCAAATATCGGAGCTTCTCAGTCTGTGGAATAAGTACTGTCGTACATTAAGGAGAAAAGCACTTAATGCTGTTTTGTTCATTTGGCAGTTAACTCTGGTATGCTTCGGTACCATGTAGTACAGGAAGTTTTGGTCCCTTTTTAAAGGTACTGTAAAATCTACATTGTTTATGGGATGCTTCCTGTCACATCAAAGGGTCCTGATATGCATTGACATGGAGGGTTGAAATGAAAGAAACAGTGGACGTAATTGTGTGTTTCCTATTGTTACAGATCCACAGGAAGTGAGCCATGTGATTTCAAAAGAAAGAAAAAGCAGAGCATGCAGGTATGGATAATATATGTAATAAATGACAAACTTCTGGAAAGGTTAGCAGAGAAGGCTCTGCAGGATAATAATGGAAACTTGAGTAAGGTTCTTTGCTGAATAAGGAGAATATTTCTGGGATGATGTAAAAAGTCAGCAAGACAGCAATCAGAACTATAGCTAATGGACAAATATACTGACATTTCACTTTTCCTTGCCTGAATTCCTCTTTCAATCTCAGTCTCTTAAATCATTCTCTGATGATCTTTTTGCCTCAAGATGCATAAATAGGATATGAAACAAGCTTTATCTAGCTTTGCATGGCTTAAGGTTTAGTTCCTCTGATATGAGTCTGAATTGCTGAAATGAGCAAAGAAGAAAAACTA